CAGTTGGGGTAGGCACCAATCTATGGGTATAGCAGAATAGCATTAGGACTCATTTTTTTGCCTTTTGTGTTTGGTTCTATCTTAGATCTCTGGGATAACCTGCTTATGGATAGAAAAATCAGTGAATTTCATTTATATTCCTTTGATAGTTTCTGAGAAATTTTTAATATGATATTTTAACATTTATTATATTTCTCTGAATTTTACTTTCCAGCTGTTTTGTGGGGTGTCTTTCTTAGTAAGTTGTCAGATAACTTTATATACTGAGAACATTCACTTTGTGAGTCAGGACATCAGTAGCTTTCTGCTTTTTAATTGTGAGTAATGTTTAGGAAGAATGTAATGCTTGATGGTGTTCAGTTTAAGAGTTTGGCCTCAGGTCATGATTAGAAGCTCTTCCTAGGATGAGGCTGTGCACGATTCTTCTTGCCCCATTTGGTTTTTATGTTTTTGCTTCTCATGTTTTTACCAATATATTTTCTCTAGTACAGGTTTGAAACAATTTTACTTTTTATCTCCAAATAAGTCCTCATATTTTATGCTTAAGATGAAACTTAAGAGAATTCATCAGGAAGGCAGGGAGGCTGTTTGAAGGCTGAGAGGGTGGATGATTATGGACAAAAGTCACCAAGAACAGACAAGGTACTTAACCAACAAAGTGTTTGCCAGCAAAGCATTACAGGGAGTTTTTAATTCTCCCTCCACCAGGTGGTTAGGTTCAAGACAGAGTGAAAGAAACACTGGGCTTCTAGGCCTAGATCTTAACTGAAAGACAGCATGTCATCTCTTCTGCTGACAATCACTTTCACATTTTGACAATAAGTAACTTCTTGAAGGACTCCTCCAACAGGAAGCATGTAGAATACAGACAGGCTGTTCTCCACAGTCAACTTCTCCTTTCCCGTGGAGAGGGCACAAAGGCTTCCACTCTCTAAGAGGTCGTTCAATCTACCACAGTCTCTACTGTAAGGAAACAGGGTACCAGAGATAGAGGCATCCAAGACTAAGAAGGGAAGTGGTCCATTGGCTGTCCTTAGCAAATGAGAGAGAAAGAATGAGAGAAAAAGAGACTGATTTTAACATGTCTATCTTGACCAGGAAATGATTATAGACTTCCCTGAGGCCCTCGTTCATTCTCATGATGAAATATAAAATAATAATAGTAATAATAGTAATAATAATAATAATAATAATAATAACCATGCTAGATTCTATAGTTTGAAGAGGCCAGTATAAAATAAAAATATGAGTTTCCTTATTCAAAACTAAGAAGAAGACAACCTTAAAGTTACTAAAATTAAAGCTCTTTTCCTGTTTGATAGGCTCTTTCTCCCAATGTTTTCCTTTTCTACTTCATGTCAGTCTCAATAAGGAAAAGTTAGATTTCTCAATGGGTAACATGACTTTTTCTAGTTATTCTCATGTGTGAAGGTCATTGGTGATTGTGGATACATAAACACAGTATTATGTATAAATGTACATGAGCTCTTGATCCTCCTGACTCTGTCTCTCCAGGCCTGACATTACTGACCTATGCCACCAGCCTTGTTTCAAGCGTCTCTGTTGCCCAACTTACTGAGAGGTAAGAGTGTGGAGAAAAAGACACAGTGGGAACCCAGGCTTGGTCTTCATCTGTTTTTCTATGTAACCAAGTCTGATGAGAACAGTTGGCTAGTGTGAGAAACTAACCAGTGTAGAGGAGACAATGTCAGGGCTTCTTGGCTTCTGTGTTCTTCTTATTTCTTTGTTTGAAGAAAATTCTATTTGGGAAGAAAACCATAGCCTCCCTGAGTTGTCAGCCACTTTGTTGCTCAAAGAGGACCCAGTACCAACTTGTGTTGACCAGGTCTCACTGAACACCCAATCTATCTCCTGGAATTCTATGCCTAGGGAGGTCTGCAATACTCATTGGTAGTGTGTGGCATGGAAGGTGGACTTACATATTGTGTATATCTTCACCATGACTGTGTTTGTTCCGTCATCACCTTGGACATCAATTCCAAGATATAACTTCAAAGATAAAATTAAGTGATTCCAAGAGAGTGGATACTGGTATGTTATACTAAGCACAAGACTCTAAAGAAGCCAGGCTCTGTAAACTCATTTATAAGGCTGGCTGTGACACCAGATATTGTTCTTTGAAGAGGTGCTTGGACTTCGATTTGCAAGTCCTTTTTAGATATAATAACACTTAATTATCACAGAAACCTGATAATAATCCCCATCCACGGACAAGAGAACTGATAGTTAGGAGCATGCTTGCCTTGAGTATATTCTCACAGCTGTCCCATGTCAGAACTGAATGTAAAGACCTTGTATGTGACCCCAGACCCCAAATCCTGGACCTCTGTCCCCACTCTTCATGTCCATGGAACAGGCAGCCCAAACTAAAGACCTTACAGAGCAAACAGAGAGTATGGGAGTTTTGAGTTTGATACTGTGTGTGCTCCTTCCAAAGTCCAAGTCTCAGTCAACACAAAAATTTGAATCAGAGGAGCATATGATTGTTTCTTGGGACACAGTGTAACTTTTCTTCCCAGCATTTCTTCCTTTAGAAACATTTCTTTACATAAGATAGAATCCCATTCTTTTAGCTTTAGAGGTAACACTCTGGCATGCAAAGTCACCAAGAAAAGCTAATAAAGAAGCCAGGCAAAGGTCTCAGGGCATTCACTATATAAAATGAGCACTGCATACATATCGACTAATGGTTTAGCACTTTTTTCCCTAAACAACCCAGCTGTCTACACCAAGTCAAACAGAGTCCATCTATAAACTGTATCTGAAACTTCGTATAATTTTCCTCTCTCTGAGTTTATAAGATATGACAATCAAGGAAGCCTTGAACTTCTGAACTGCTGGCAGACGATTTTGTCTTTGTATGAAGATAGTTTAAGAACTAGGGCAAACACAGAGGAGGAAGTTCTCCAGGGAGGGAGGGAGGGAGATAGGAAGGGAAGGAAGGACACAGAGGAAATGAATTGAAGTCTTGATTTTTAGCCATACTTAAAAGCTAACTTTAATTGTCTGAAATTTCCAGGTAAAATTTTTTTCTCTCCCTTACCTTGGTTTGAACTATAATGTTTATGTTTAATGGATATAATAGCTCTTATTATTGCTGGTAGATTACTTTAAAAGTATTCTAGTGTTCATCCATGTGAAATTACAGAGCTGTAAATATTGGCTCATTCATTTATACGTTATAATAGTAAATGTATTTGTGCTAGCCGTACCTCCTGTGCATGTTAAGAGCTCTGCACACACAATCCTTGGGAAAGCCTAACCTTTAGTGACCTGTTCTGTGCTTGAGGATTCCATTTAGCAAGTATAGTGCTGGTTTGGAGCTGCCTCTGGAGCCACAGGGTCCTGGGCCCCTGGAAAGTGGCTGAAGTGCCTATCTTCTTAGTGTGGCTGAGCTTTCAGAACCATCCTCTTGACATTTCAGGCTTTTGCTTTGGCTTTGGGAGAGCAAGAACTTCCTTCTGCCTATTCAGTGACATCTTTGAGAAAAGGGTTTATTCCTAATCTTAAAGAAAATAACTCCCTCAGCTATCCGTTCCCACCCCAGTTGTATTTATTTTCTGCATTGAGACTATCACATCCTTTTTCCTTGTGGGATATAAATATTTCTATCTCTTGGACAAGTAAGCCGAATAGTGATAGGTGAAGCTCTGCTCACAGAAATCATTTGGCACTTTCTTTTCTAGAAATAAGACACATTCTTTCGTTCTATAATAGCGTGCCATTTGATGTACATTGATTTATGCAAACACTTGGAAAACCCAGGTTCAGTTTACACTTTTGAATGATTTCTTCACTCTTTAAAGGAAGTGTCACTGAAAGATACATGGCTCAGAGACCAATATTCATCTTTCAGATTTAAGTTTCACTCAGCAGAGAGAAAGGTCGCTGCCTCTAAATCAATGTCTCTCCTGAGCTCTGCCTTAGGGTCTTGAAGCTTTATTGGAGAAAAGAGGCTGATTTCCCTCCCCCACCCCAATCTAGTTCTCTGCAGTTTCCTGGAAAAGGCAAAACAGGACTAGCCTCATTAACAAGTCATTATTATCCAGGAAGTCGCTTTTGATAAGTTTTTTGCACCCCCAATAGGCCTCTCCACCGACAAAGCAATCCAGATCAGACCATTTCAAGATTGAATTAGAAAAGGCCCTGGGTTAATGGGTAAAGCTTTCCCAGGTGATTCTCCAGCCCTCCAGAGAGGAGATGGGGAAGAGAGACTGGAAAACCACATTTGTTTTCTGGGATGCAACTTAAATACCTCGTGGGAGTGGTTTTGAGCTCATCTCTTGGGGAGGAGCCATGTTTGGTGGACTTTGAAGGGGCCAGTTTGGAGAAAGAAATGGGGGAGAGGAGTTGAAATGGATCTTCCACCAGAACATCCCAGACTCTTTGGATGCCAGGGTGCCAGGGGCTGAGGTGGAGCTTCCACCAGAACAACTTTAACTCAGACTAGTTCTCCATCTGAGAATCTCCCCATGCTTTGGAGTGAGATGCAGATGCCAAATGTTATTGGTGGGCCTAGGATTTGTTTGCTTTGTTGTTGATATTATTTGGTGTTCTTCCCAGTGGAGCAAAGTGCCCAAAATTTAAGAACTCACTATCCTATTAACACTTGCCCTGAAGATTCTGACTAAAAAGGCAAAACGATCATGAAAAGAAAAACTAAAGGGGGGTGTTTTTCTTCTTCAGTGTAAAGGCGAAGGTGACATTCGAGTAGTCAAACAATGAATGAGTAGCCAACAAAGAACTGAAATGTGACCTTTCAGGCTTAGCATCAATAATCTGAGGTAAGAAGGAGGGCCAAACCTATTAACTTACCAGTGATGGAGGGAGGCCAGCATTTTGAGTGGGGCCAACAAGAGAGTATCAAAGTCCCAACCTGAGAGCAGTTCATGAGCTGTGGGATGTAGAACTATTCAGCGACAATAGTCACTGTGGTGACATCACTATGACATGGTGATAAAGGCAATGTGCTCAGAATCATCCTGCCAGGGACCAGGATGATTCCTGGATGATCAAAGATAGAGGATTCTGTAGACTCTCATAGGTAAAAGAAAAGGCCCTTGATGAAGATTGACTGGGAGATGGAAAAACTCACAGTGATTGTGGAATATGGAGCCTGGGAGAACAAGGTCAGCTTCCTAGACAGGTTTCTGGGTAACTCCAAACTTTCACTGGTTTTTCCCAGATGGTTTTCTTGGGAGGCTGCAATGTTATGGTCTTGTTCCTGCCAGTAGGTGACTCAGAGTCCTCCAATAGCTTAAACCTCTGTTTTCACATTATTCCTACCTCTTGATGTCTTTCATTTATAGCTTTCACTCTGGATTCATTTTTCTACCTGACTGTTTTTCCTTTGTCCTGGTGATCTTCTGTACTCTACCTGGCTTCTCCTCCTCCTCCAGCTCTTGTACTAGAGTCAAAATTCTTGAAGCCAAAGGTCACCTCTGTGGTTTTTATTGTTCCCCTCAGCTGTCATAGTGCATAAAGTAATAACTGGTACAGAGTGGTAATTGAGCAATATTCAATGATTTGGTGTGTTAGTGAATGAGTATACATTAGGCTTTCTTATTATTATATAAAAATAAATGTATTTATTATTATTAGTTTTTATATCCTTGCTCAAATAAAAACGATTCGTTTTAGTCAAGACAGGGCAATTGGGAGAGTATATATGGTCAAAATACATTATGCACGTGCATGAAAATGTCTTAATAAAACCTGTAAAATAAAATTAGCATATACTAATGAAAACACTGAACTTATCTCTTTTGCTTCTCCTTAACCTGGACCACAGTAATATCCATTCCTACCATTAGAAATGTCGATCTGTAGTTATAGCTTAGAACCGAGGCAAGTATACAGCCAGGAATTCCCCAAATAAGTCAGACTTAAGGATCAAGATAGAAGTGCAGGTTACCAGAATGCTGTAAATCTCTCAAGATCCTCTGAAGACCCAACCCCAATAGTAGAGAAAATGATGATTATGGTGAATACTCAATGAATGCTCCTCTAGAGAAAGGGGAGAGGGAGTAGACAAGGCCCACACAAACCGGCTCAGGGTATCAGTGAGCCACGGCCTGCCAGCAGCAGCACAGAGTCCAACTGAAGGAGAGTGGGTGCTACTTTCACTAGCTTGTGACCACTGCATCTCCTGCCCGACCAGCTCTGGGTGACCATGGACCTTCACTGGCATTTGAAGACTCAGCTTGCTTTTTAAGAGCTGTCACTGTAAGAGTAAATTAATTGGACAAAGGATTTCTAGATGCTTCTCCAGCTCGTGTCTAATTCTAGAACTATGAGGATGCTCATGGATGCTTGGAAACTCTCTCTCTCTCTCCTAACCACACCTAATAATAAGTTGCCACCCAGGAGAAGACTAGGAGCTGCAGATTGGGGCACATCACTTCTTCCTTGCAATCCCAGATGGCTCCCCATCAGTTTATTTTCAGTACCAACTCTTGGGAGAGTGTCCTCAGATACCTTCTTCCTGCATGAGCATGTCTGTTGTCATGCCTGTCTTTGGTGACATTCTAGTCATCTGACTTTCCTCTTTGCTTTTTGAAAATGTCACACTCGCTTGTCTCTAGAGACATTGCACCTGCTGTTTTCCTCATCAAGGATGATTCTGCATCAATTCACAGCGTGAATAGGCCATCATTCTACAGGTCACAGCTCGAGTGTCACCTCTCTATGGAGACCTTCTGACAACCTATCAATGGGATCACCTCCCATCCATCGCTGTGTCACATCCCAGCATGTTGTTTTTATTGTCTCATTGCAGCTATCACTCAGACAGTGCTTACAAGATAATTTGCTGTCACTGAAAAATGTAAGCACCAAAACCCTGGGACACTTCATACTTGCCCTTGTCCTGGCTCCATCCTTTAAAAGAAGGCTTAGCATGGAGTGAATGGCTAATAAAAGTACATTGATCAGACTGATGGAAGATGAATGACTCTGTCATGGATATCAGTAATCACACCCTGAAGCAAAATTCCCTAAAAACAATGGTAGGCTGAAAGCAAAATAGTATAGACATTCAAAACTGGGTCTTGAAATTCAAACCCCATTTGCCTTTTTCTTGCCTCAGTACTAACCCTGTACAACTGACCAGTTCAGAGGCTTTTTGTATCACAAGAGGAAGCCCAAACTCTGCCTGGCCTTGTTTCTTGTAGCTCTCGCCTGCTGAAATCCCAACAGCTCTAGGAAGCAGCCAGCTCTTCTTCACAATCTTTGCTCATGCCTGCCACATCTAGTTTGAACTGTCATTCCTCTGCTTGATGTCTTTCAACACTCTCCCTGTCACCTCCTTCAAGAAACCTCCAGCACCCTAGCCATCCTATGCCTTTCTCTTAGCTGTGTTAATATGCTGTGTTTTCTCCTACCCTTTCCTTAAAATGTTCTGAATTTCAAGAACTTGTAAGTATGGTGTTCTGCTGTTATGAAGTGAGTTTGCGGCTGTCACAGACTTGGTATAACTTAACAGCCTGAGTGAAGAGTGAGTGGTTCAGTATGTTCTTCCTGGAGCCCTGGGCTCAAATGTTGACTTTGTTGTCCACTAGGTTTGTGACTTAAAGCGAGATTCTTCATGTTTCAGCAAATTACTGTACTCATTTAGAATTGGGAATGCAAATACCATTGCTCCTGTGATACTTCAGTTTACCCAAGCTACTGGAATGATGTGTTTGCATAGTTGTACTCCATCTATGCCAGTACCTATTATCTTACCATTCCTATATATTTTCACAGTGCCTGGCATAAAAGCACTTTATATGTTTCTGAACATAAGGGAAGGAGAAAGGACAAACCCAGAGCAAAAATAAACAATTAAAAAGCTTCCTAAGGCTGCCACAACACTGTACTACAAACTGAGCACCTTGCAACTAGAGAAATGTGCTTGTACAATTATGGAGACTAAATATCCAAAGTATAGAATCCTTTAACAACAAGGAGAATTTCTGCCTGTGTCTCCAAGGATTCTGGAAGGGAGGTTGGCCATCCTTTGTGCTCCTAGTTTGGAGCTGCAATAGCCAAGACTCTGGTCCTGTCTTCATATAGAGATTCTCCCCAGGTTTGTGGTGTCCCATCTATTCCCAAGTCTTTTGAGGCCATCAGTCATATTGAATTACGGAGCCATGTGCTCCACCTCATCATCTTAATTATACCCACAGTGAATCCACTGCAAGGACCTTATAAATTTGTTTTAGAATCAACTGGCTAAAACAATACCCCCATCTAGAGTATACCCTGTACGTCACATATCACTGGTTAACACCTTTGTCTGATTCTTCCATCTATCACTGAAACATACAAACTCATCAGTTCACAAATATGGGAAAACTATAGACTAAATATGATATTTTCCAGCTATCCAACACCAAATGACATAGAAGAAAAAAATTCTTAGTGTACCTTTTGAAAGGTCTGTCTGGATTCAAATAGCTAATCCCCATCAGCACATGAAGAAACAGATGCAGGACACCTTTGCTTCATGGCCTGTTACTGGGGACTCAAGGTATTAGGTCTACACCCATCTCTCAGTCTTTATGAATGATATAAGGTGCTAGCAGTTAAGAAGAGACACAGTCCCAGAGTAAATAGCAGGGATGATTTGGTAGATACAGCTAGAAAAGAGTCCCACAAGGAATTAGTTGGGATTCTCCTCTCTTATCTGTAGCTCATTTTATTCTTTCTTCCTATGTCATTCTTTTCCTTTTATCCTTGTCTCTTATTGCTGAAATTTTTTCCCTAGAGAGTCTATTCCTAGTCACCAAAGACAGAGAGAGCTAAAGGAATAATTCCATCAGAGTCCATCTTGATAAACCAATGAGGTTTTAGGGGTTATTTACAGTGGCATGGATGAGAGATTACTTGAGTGAATATGAAGGACATGGCAGCTACATCAGCAAAAAAGTTCATCCCATGGGGGTGGCTTATGAAAGCTGGGTTGCTGGAGTCCATGTGATAATGGCAGACAACTATGGTCCCAAAGAGTCTCCTCGTTTCAGAGAGTTGCTTTTTTCTTATACAATCTTGGGGAGAGCTCTCATGAGTCCAGTGAGTTTCATGATCCTTGTGAAGCTGCCTCTTCCTCTGGGAGTAAATTTTCCAAGCAAGAGGTAATAGATACCAAACACTCTTTTCTGCATGCTGATAGGTGTGTGTGTGTGTGTGTGTGTGTGTGTGTGTGTGTGTGTGTGTGTGTGTTTCTTTATACACACATTAGAATGCATTTGTATATCTGCTGTGTCTATTTTCAGTACAGGCTTGAGAACCTACCATCCTAAGTCGTCGTCTTGTCCATTCCATCCATCCAGCGCTCATCTAATTCAAGCTCTACTCTGTAAATGGTGGTGCCCCTGTTTTGTAGCCACAGATAAACTAGATTAATGATCTGTGAGATACTGAACAAACCTGACACTTTTTCCCCCTCTGCTTCACTGTTACTTGAAAGACACGATAAAGATCCCCAGCATTGCACAGCAAGCCACACAGTTCAGCATCATGCTTGAGATTACTTCCCTCTAGGAAGCACAAAAGGCTTGTAGGGAGAATGTAGTTGCCTTATTCTCTTTGCCTCTGTGCACCTGTTTCCAAGATAAACTTCCAGTAGTTAAATGTGGGCTCAGTGCAAGTATTGGTATGTAATGCTCAGAGAGGACTGTCTCCAAGTAGACCACTGAGTGAAAACATTAATGGGAGTCTTGTGATGCAAAGGGGAAAAAGCCACCTGCCTGCAGAATTTTCCTGGAACAAAAGAGGTAGATGGACCTCAGTCCCTCGTCTTTACCCCTTTTTTGTTTTGCTATGAGCAAAACCACTTAGAACTCTATGGGTCAGACCACGTGCAATGCATGGAAGTTAGGCTTCCCATAACTAAAGATGCATCTTCTGCTATTATCAGACTGCAGTAGAAAGCATCCCTTTTTTGTTGGAAAGTTATTGAATGAAATCTATTATAGTGAGCAGAGCCTAATCAGCTTTACCTCATTTTAGAGCACAATATCTCTTTTCCCTTTTTGAAGTGTTTCAAATGACTCTTCAATATTTAAAGTGATGTCTAATCATCTGTGAAATCAACCATGGACTCTCAGGACCTCATAAGCAAAAGAAAATGCTGGAGCTATTCATC